AAAATCGCATTACCAACACTTTTACATAGTACTCGAAGACTAGTTTAGGCACCAAATTTTTTTATATTCGTATTTTTTCTTATAACTTGTACTTCTTTTATTCAAGTAATTTCATGCACGCTTGGCATTAGCCTATCCCAAAGTTGGTAATATTATAGTAACGGTAACGTTTCATTTGTCATTGCGCATATTTATTTAGTTGATCTATTTGACTTACATTTAACGCACTTCTTTTCAAGTTTATGCGAACTAAATATGCAAATTTGCAAATGCCACCTTTTACAAACTATATTCGATTAATATTAAACACAAAATGGTCAAACGATCAAATCGTTCAAGATGTTTAAAATGTTATCCGTTATTTACTTTTGTCATTTTTATTAGTATACTTTTTTTAATGGTTTTTGATCTTAGACTTAGTGTTAGAGTTTATTGGAGAGATTGGATTTTACAAGAAGAATTTAAACATGAAAATTTAAGCAAATGCTTTTATAATATTTCTAATAATTCTGAACCGTCAATTATTTATAATAATATTTTAACTACTTTACCTCTCGGTTATGGTTGGGATTGTTACGATTTTGCAAAAAGTATAAAATTAAAGCCTGGTCAACCTCGTGAAAAAATAATCTACCATGCTTATTGGCGTGCAGATTTACGACCTTTTGGAGATAAACAAATCGCTACCTTAAAGTCATTCTTTGCTACTCAAGACGCAAATTTTTCAACTCTTATTCTTTGGACTAACGGAAATCTTTCGACTAATCCTTCTCTTAACATGTTGGTTGAACGTTATTCCCATCGATTCATAATAAAACATTATGAAGTCGTAAGAGAAAGTAAAGGAACACCTATGGAAAATTCACCAAATCTTGAATTTGAAGATAAACTTGCATACCTTGATGGAGACTTGATTAGACTCCTTGTTTTATACAAATATGGAGGTATGTGGTTTGATATGGATTCACTTTTTATACGAGATTTATCACCACTCATGGAACATGAATGGCTTGGTCAATGGGATTGTTTTATGCCAAAGGGATATCCTTTCAACGGAGCTTTTATGAGATTTCGTAAGAATTCACCATATTTATGTGAACTTCTTTCCGAAATGGCTAATGGACCAGTTCCTAGTAAATCATCGATTGACTGGGGTGGAAGAATTTATTATAAAGTTTTTAGACGCTTAATTCAAAACGGACAAAAACCATTTGGAATGATTCCTTGGTGCTTTACAGATCCTCACATGTGTAATCCGTACAATTCAATGCCTAATGCGTTTGATGAAACAGATTTTGATAAGGAAAGATTATTACAGACATTTGCTTTTCACTGGCACAATCAATGGGATAAGGAAAAAGGGAGTTTATTTAGATTTCTGGAAGAAAGAAATAATGAGATTCTGGGTTTTTAAGACATTTATCAAACTTTGTAAATTTTATAATTATAGATTTATTAATAATTCATTCCAAAAATGAAGGTTCTGATTTTCGTTTGGTTGTTTGCCTATGCAAAGGGCATAAAAAATTTTGTTACTGATGCGCTGAACGAAACTTGATTGTAAAATTACAAATGTAAAAAAGAATATTTCAAAATAAATGTTAATATATGCCTTTCCAGTAAATAATTTAATTTGATATAATATAGTACAGTCATTTTTTTTCTTCATTAGATCCTATCTCAAGTTAAACAATAATTATTATAAAGGACAAACAACAATCATCAATTTTCCTAGTATCACGTCATCCTTCACTAAACCTGATTTAATTTTTTTAGATCTTTATTCAATATCAAATTACGCTATCATCCTTCACTAAACCTGATTTAATTTTTTTAGATCTTTATTCAATATCAAATTACGCTATCATCATATCAGATTATATAGGCGAATCCCTATTAGAAAGAATGACATCTGCAGTCCGTACGGTAATGGTATAAAATTTGTGCCTCATATTGTGACTGCATAGTTGATGATTAAGAACTTATA